GAAAACCTCAAAATTCGTGAAAGATGAAATGAAAAAAATTTTTTTTTTTTTGGTTCAAAATTATTGCTAATAGGTTTGGGTAAGGGCCAGGGCCAAAAACATTCATCCCTAGAATTTTTTTGAGGAGGAATAAAGTACTAACCTTGAGATAAACAATTTTGCAGGAGAAGTGGGACTAAAAAATTATGTGAGTGGGGTCAAGAGAGCATGGAAAGGAAAATTAGAATCCGGTGAGTATAGACCTTTTTCTTTTTTTCAGGACTTTGTAGTTAAAATGGGCACAATCTTGGGATGATCTCATCATTTTCATGTTTAGCTGTCACTTTCAATCCTTTCATAGTGACCATGAAGCATTTTTGTAATACTTAAAAAATTTCATTACATACCTGTGGCACTATCTGGTTTAAAACATGCCAGGCTAAGTATTAAAAAAAGAAATTCACAAAATTATACAACTAAAAGATCCAATGAAATGTTGCTAGATATATAATATTACATAACCTGATTATCATGTTTCTCATGTTTACTAAGACGACAGGAGGATTTCTTGCTAGATGAAAATCATCCAATCCTAGAATATGTTACACTACTCAAATGTACAAAGTACACTGTAGTTAGTCATCTTTAAATTGTGTAACATAAATAAAGGGGGAACATGCAGGTAATAATTTTACTTTGCAAACTGAATTTTTGTAAATTGTGTAATATGATGTCCCTGTTGATAAATTGTGTGTGGTGCTTACTGAAATGCATTCTTCTTAAAAAGGAAGGATAAAAGTATGCATGCATACCTTCAAAAAGAATATTCACTACATTAGGAGCACCTTGGTTTATAATGCAAAGGTCAACAAACGAATGCCTGCAGGCCAAATCCAGCCCAGAGCCTGTGTTTGTAAATAAAGTTTTATTGGAACACAGCCAATCCCACTCCTTTACCTAGTGTCTATGACAGATTTCAGAGACCTGATGGTTCATAGAGACTGTATTACAGACTATCTGGCCCTTTACAGAAAAGGTCTGTCTAGCTCTCGTCTAGCAGATTAGCCTCATGATGTGTTTTAATAGGTTTTACTCAATATATCGAAATCCTATATAATAAAAGGCTAATATGCAAATTGACCAAACGGCCAAACGACTAGTCATTATGACATGCACTGACCACCAGGGGGCAGATGCTCAATGCATGAGCCTCCCCCTGGTGGTCAGTGCGCTCCCCCAGGGGAGTGCCACTCAGCCAGAAGCATGGCACACTGCTGGTGAGCACAGCGGCGGTGGCAGAAACCTCTCCTGCCTCTGCTGTAGGGCTAAGGATGTCCAACTGATGGCTTAGGCCTGCTCCCCATAGCTGCAGGCCAAGCTGACGGATCCCCCAACCCGAGTGCATTATTTTCATGCACCAGGCCTCTACTTTGTAGATAAGACATGGAACAAACTGCCTTGTGAAATCCCTGGGCTTTCATATTAATTTGAGTGTCCAATATTTGAGCACTCCGGTATTAGGAACAAAACACAAAAAACTAGTACCTAGCAATTTAGATAGAAACAAAGTAGAGTGCCAGTGTTGCATATGATTTCCTTTTATACCTGAGCAGATATTAAAAGTATTCTCACAAAATTTGCTTAAGACATGATATAAACCCAATGCTTTAAATACATTTCCATTGTGAAACAATCATTATACTGTAGACCAGAACTACCTTCATTTTTTTCCATTGGCTGCATACTACATTATTTTGTGGGTATAATAAAGCATTTCCTTATAGATAGGTATTTACGCTATCTGCAACTTTTTGGTATGCAATGTTGTAAGAAATATCCTTAGCATACATACATATGTTTGTAGCATTTATATAAATATCCTTAATGCATATGTGTATATTATATATCTTTAACATCTATGTCATATTATATCTATCTATCTATCTATCTATCTATCTATCTCTATCTATCTATCTATATATATATATATATATATTACAATGTCCTACTGTATATTTTATATACATAATAATATATAATTAATGTCCTTTGAATGTGTATGTGTGTGTTTATACAAGTCATGTTTTCCTGTAAGATCTAGTTCTGGAAGTGAAGCTATTGGGATAAAGGAATGAAATACTTGAAATTTCAAAACTTGTTCAATTTCCTTTTAAAAAAAGTGCCAATTTCATCTACCGAGAGTGCATGAGAATGCCTTTTCCTCCCACGTGCCAATTCTGGTTTTTATTTTCTTTAATAAAATAATTATCATTATTAGTTCAAGAAATGGTATCTCATTGTTCATTGATTTGCATCTTTCTGATTACCAAGCAAGGTTTGCTCTCTCTAGTAAAAATAAAAAATTTGGTAATCAGGAATATTAGCTCAAGTTGGAATTTGTTTATAGGAAAAGAATGATTACCTACTGTTAAGTACTGCTGTAGGCTTACCTGTCAGACTCTTCATTCTCCATAATAGAAACCTGCTGCCTATCAGTTTGTTCACTGTTGCTCTGCTGACTCAATCCATCACTGTCACTGTCATCAGCACCATCGTACATGTTTCTGGATGTTTCCCTTTTACTGACTTTCTGCTCCTTTTTTTCTTCAACCTTTGATGAAAGTTTGATATTAAGGATATTGTTATTACTTTATTAATTAAAAATACTTCATTAATTTGATCATTTGAATCTTAAGTTTAGTTGCTATGACTTGAATCAATAAAAATATTTTGTATGTTTAATTTTATCATTAAAATTGTTATAAATAATGCTTCATTTCTTTTTTAATAAAGAAGCAGAATTTTTCAAGTTTTCTCAAAGAGCTTTCTTAATTTTGTGCTGCTATTCACATATCATCTAAAACGTACCTTAAAACTCAGTTTTCTCACCCCAAATAGCCACAGCAATCTTGAGAAAGAAGCACAAAGTTGGAAGGATCACAATACCAACTATCAAGCTATATTACAAAGCCACTGTTCTCAAAACTGCCATGTGCTGGCACAAGATCAAACATATAGACCAGTGGAACGGAACAGGAGGATCCATAAATCAACCC